GCTTGCTGTTGTCATATAGGTAGGTTTTCAAGCTAGGAATATACTTTCTTTAATAGGTGCTATTCAAATTTTATATTTCCTCCAGAGTTTGTTTCATTAATTTGTCTTCCAAGTTACGTCTTAGAAGTTGTCAAATTTATTTCAAAACAGATTTTTGTAATATGCTTTCTATATCCTTTTAAATTCTGTAAAATCTGTGACAATGTCTCCTAAATCTTAATATTGTAATTTAAAAATGTATAACTGATATTGTGTAACAGGAAGAAAAGGTCTAAAAGAGCAGGGGAATTGGGAGGAGTAGGGGAAGGGAAAAACGGGAAAGGAAAAAATATGAGAAGAGGAAAAAAATGGAAACAAGGTCTTTGCAAATAGGGAAGGGTGGAGGAGGTGAAGAGAGGGCAAGGGAAGGGGAAAAAAAATAAGGATCAAGAGACTCATGTGATGGTACAAGATCCCAATGATAAATGTAACTGTATTTTATACCGAAAATGTACCAATAAAGTTAATGGGGGAAAAACAAAAGAAAGACAAACTAGAGACGTCTATAGCTAAATGGATCCACCTTGAGGTCGTACTCTTTTTTTTGTTGTTCTTTTATTCGTACATTTTAGGTGTACAATTCGTTTACATGTATCATTGGGTGCTTGTTCCTGTACATGATGCATCTTGGTTCTTATTTTTTCCCCATTACCTGTGCGCCCTTCACCCCCTCCGCCCTTCCCTATTTACACAGACATCATTGCCATTTTTTTTCTTTTCTCATAGTTTTTTCCTTTCCCTCTTTTCCTTTCCCCTTCCCCTCCCTTCACTCCTTCGTCTTTGGACCTTTTTTCCTATTTCAAATTATCAATTATTCCTTTTAATCATTTTAATCCTTAGTTACACTTTCAGTTTCTCACACTAGAGAAACCATTCAGTATTTACACATGTGTCCTATTTATTTCACTTAAGAGTATAGCCCCTATATGCATCCATTTAGCTATAAATGTCTCTAGTTTTTCATTCTTTATGGGTGAGTAGTACTCCATTTTATAAAAAAACCCCAGATCTTCTTTATCCAGTTTCGAATTGATGGGCACTTGGGCTGCTTCCAAGCTTTAGCTATTACAAACTGTGCCTCTATGAACATGGGTGCACATATATCACTGTGGTATGATTCTTTTGGGAAGATACCCAGCAGGGGAGTAGCTGGGTCAAATGGGACCTCTAGTCCTAGATCTTTGAGGTATTGAGATCATCCTCTTAAGTGAAATAAATAAGACACACATGTGTAAAAACCAAATTGTTTCTCTAGTGTGAGAAACTGAAAGTGTAAATGAGGACCAAAACGTATAACAGATATTATGAAATAGAAAGAAAATGTTCAAAAGGGAAGGGGAACTAGGGGTGGGGGTAGGAAAAAGGAAAGAAAGGAAAGAAAAAAACTGAGAAAAAAAGGAAAAAGTAGAAATAAAACTTTTGCAAATAGAGAGGTGGAGGGGTGGAGGGAAGGGAGGAGGAATGGGGAAAAACAAGAACCAAGACATATCATGTACAGGTACAAATTCCCCATGATGGATGTGATCATATTGTATACCTAAAATGTACCAATAAATAAACTTAATAATGAAAAGACTAATCTTTAAAGAATAAAAAATGAAATTAAAGATGCAGTCATCCTGCCCAATTGTTTCAATTAGTGGTGTGCAATAGCAGACATTTAATAAGAAGGAATCAAAGAAATGAGCTTTGCTTGAAAATGATCCCTGGAAAGAAACTTGAAAAGAATTACTGCCAAGGGGGGAATTGACTGGAAACAATTTGGAAGCTTGATGAAATTGTTTTGTCTTAAAAACCATTAGCCAAGGCCACAAAAGCTTGTGTTTTGAAGTCTTGAAACAATCTCAAGGCAGAAGGGCATGTTAAATAGCCTGGCCCCAGAAGAGGATATCCAACTCACTTCCAGAGAGGCTAATGAGACAGGAGCAACCACCAGAGGCCAAGATCACCTTCCAAGAGCTGAGCCAGTGTTCTATAAAATAATTTCTGCCATCCTCATATGCAAGTAGGCTGCAACCCGGCTCAGAGGGCTTGCAGAATTCCTGTGGCTCAGATTCTAGCTATCTTCCTTTCTTCCCTTTCCCCACGGAAATTTCTAGTGGGGTTATTCAGTTCCTGCTGCACTATTGCAAACTGGGCTGTGGCAGGGTTGGAGAGGTCGTCTTTTGATTTTCTACTTAGTGGACCAGAAAGGCTACATGGACAAGATATGATTAGAGAATTATATGTTACCCAAAACCCCTAGACTTTGAAGTAGATACGGTGACTTCATTGGACCTGTATGTCTAAGTATAAAAAGAAGAATCAAATAAATACTTGGCAACTAGAAAGCTAGACTGTGTCAGAGCTATGGGTGCTCCCCATTCTCCTGTTCTCTTCTATTTTGGGGCACACATGTGTAGTTGAGTGAGACCATGTGATCATGTGGTTGACATCTAGCTAACATCACACCATTGGAAATACACGTTATCCATGGAATTAAGAGAAAGTATGCTTTCTCTCTTGCCCCTTTCCTGGTATGAACAATAGACTACAATGGAAGGAGTGACTACTGAGGGCTGAGTCACAGAACAGAAGCAGTCTGAGTTCCTGCCAACACACAAAGGACTATGGAAGATGAAAATTAGAATTCCATTGTATGAATTCACAGGCATTAAGGGGATTTTTGTCACAGAAGATTACCTAAACTGTCAGGTACACATAACATGAATAACACATTTTTCTTGTTTACTTTTTAATTTTAATGGTTAGGAACATGGATTATAAAGTATGTTAATCAAATAAATATGATTATAGGAAAGATAATGTGATTGGGGAAAAAAAATCCATCCAGTTCGGGTTACTTTCAACACAGGTGTCATCTGGATGCAAAGAACACAGTGTAGGCACTGTCCTCAATAAACGGTTTCACTCACTGAGTGTATAAAGAGAAAAGCGCTGGAGCAGGGAGTGGGCAACTTCTCATTTAACACTCAACTGTTAAAGTCATCTAGCAAATTGGAAGGCCTTTGGGCACTCTAAGGAGATGCTTGGAGAATCCCACAGTTCCTAAAAGAAGAGTATAAAATGGGGTGGGCACGAGTGGGAAGGGGAGATACAGTGCAAACAGGGACCCCACCCTTGGCAGTGCATCTGGGATCTGTGCAGAATCTCAGAAATGTTTTTGGACATGCAGAATATATGGTTTTCCTCTAGCTCAGCAACATCTTCAAGACATTATAAAAATAAATACGAAGTAATATTATATATTACTCATCATTTTGGGAAATACAGAACAGTAAAAAACAAGCATTAACAAAAAACAGGCAGAAAAAGCCCCTGTATATATTGTGCTGAATTTGGTGTCAGGATTTTTCTGTATCTTTCACAAACCCACATGCATGAATAGACTTTAACAAAGAGGCAGAACACTGTAAGTGGAATGAATGTCACAGAATTGTACATTTCAAAATATTTCAAAATAAATTTTGTTACAGATATTTTCCACAATAAATTGTATTTTTAAAAGTAACTCCAAACAAGAAGAGCAACAGAATTCATAATAGCTGTGGATCATCAAGCCTGTGTCCTTACCCAGAACTGACCAATTTAATTATGATTTGTCCTGGAGTCATTCTAGATCTTTCACCATGGAACTCAGGAGTAATGTCGAGCAAGCTGAACTTGTATACATCTGACATATGCAACGGATGCCATTCACTCCTGCCAGTTTGACAAAGACTCATCTCCTTGTAATAACTCGTTAAACGATTTTTATCTTACAGTTTCCAAATATGTCTGAGATCTTGCCAAACCTAGTTGAAGAGCTTGAACACCATGTGGGTACTTACTTCCTGCCTCATAACTCTTACATGTTACAGACCATTCAACCCACTAAGAAACTGAGCTTGCCAGTGACTGTTAAAGTCTTTCTCAAATTTTGTATTGTCTTCTCTACTGCTGGAGAAAGCTCTCTAATATCCCAGAACCACTTCACAGAGACGAATAAACCCAGATGATCACCACTGAACCCAAAAAGAGTAGGCTATAGGAGAAAGTGAGGAACAGAAACTATGGCTCTGTTAATTAAATATTCTGAGTATAAGTTTCTGTATTTGAAAAGTGGAATAGTTATCTTTGATGCCATCAAAGTCTTCTTTCATTTCCATGATTTTTTAAAGCCTGCTGACCTGCTCTTCCCAACTTTGTAACTGATTAGTTCCCTTACCTGGATCAGGTGTTTGAAATTACTGGATAAAGCTATTTCTGTGGGATGTTCTGGGGAAAGGAGGCAGAAGAAGGAGGGATCAGAGAGGGAAAGAGAGAGCACAACTGTTGTGTACATTTTAAGTATAACTCCAAGAGATGGCTGCGAATTTCCAGGTCTGGATGGGGGCACTGTGCGCCTCCTCCCCTTGTGCTGGTCCACCTGTGGGACTCCCTGCAAGTGGTGGGTCCCCAGCAAAAGATGACATTGCCTAAGATGATGAGTGTGGATTCTATAAGTGATCATCTGAGTGCATAGAAAGATATAATGACTGTGTCTTTATGACACTGTGTGAACCTGTATGTGTCAGGAGTAATTCAAAGGTAAAAAGACAATCACAATGTAGGTTAAAGTACGTAAGAATAATTCTTTCTTGTAATGAAGACAAGACCTATGGGCAGAAGACTGGGGGTCAGAGGTAGCTTGGGGCGGGCCCCATAAAACTCAGGGGTGACTCAGTGCAGCACAGTAGGAGAGTCGTATGCCAGCTATGAACACCCAGTATGACAAGTTCTAAGTACTATCACACAGTTTGTAATTGCTATGTCAGAAATGCTCTCTCTGTTTACCAGCAGCCTTATACAAATGCGCAGCACCGGGACTAAGTGAAGACATCAGTAGCAACTCCTCCCTGTGCATGAGTTCTGACTCACAAAGAGACCAGGGAAAGGGGAAGATTCAACCAATGACACCCAGGCAAGAGTGAAGACAAAAGTAATTTAATGTGACAAAGCAGAAATATGTTTCATCCGATCCAAATGAATTCTGAGGGATCACAGACCATCAAAGCACTGAGACCCTCTGCTTAACTCAGAGGCTCAGAGGATTCCTCAGGCTATGTGTGGGAAAGGCATCATAGCACCTACATTTAGGACACAAATAAGACAGGCTTTGGCTCAAGGTAAGAACACATTGATTATAAGATCTTCAGACAAGTAAGCAGACACTGAAGCAGAAGAGCAGGGAAACTCAGCAGCTGGTTTTCACCTCCTGTGCTGTGGGCAGCATTACTTCTGCTTCGTCTTCTGTCGATTGGAGTCTGGAGTGACTACTGAGGGGCACAGCTCTGGAACTTTGGATTGGCATGGCTCGGGGACCTTGCGGTATCCAGGCTGAGAGACCATGGTGCATCCTGGCTCAGGGACAGTAGTGTATCCCGGTGCAGTGATCGTGGTGCATCCTGGCTGAGGGACAATGTTACATCCCAGCTCAGGGACCACGGTGTATCCCGGGGCCGTGACTGTGGTGCATCCCGAGTCAGAGACCACAATGTTTCCCGGGGCAGTGACCATGGTGCATCCTGAGTCAGGGACCACGGTGTATCCTGGGGCCGTGACCATGGTGCATCCTGAGTCAGGGACCACGGGGTATCCCGGGGCAGTGACCCTGGTGCATCCTGGCAGCTCAGGAACTGTGGTATAGCAGGGCTCTGAAATCTTGGTGATTCCAGGTTGTGGAGCGATTGGTGGGCATAGCTCCTTGGTAATGGGAACAAAAGGTACTTGAGGGGGAGGCTGTTGGGGTTGCTTTGTCTGCTCCTGTGGCAGCTGAGGGGGAGGGACAAATGGCTGTTTCTGCTGGTGGGAACACATGCTTGGAAGGATGCTGGGCCTAGAGATAGAAAAGCTGATTAGTCATTTGGAGAAATAAGGAGGGAGGCCAGTTCAGTGACAAATATCTCTCATTGTATGTGCCTTCAGAAGAGAGGCAGTCTTTTTTCTTTCCTTGTATTTTCCTGAATCTGAGATAACAGGATACTTTGATGATCCTCGCAAGGTTTCAAGGCAAAACACAAAGATGATTTGTTCAGGTTCATGTGAATGGAGCCCTTCTGTTTGCTTCCTTCCTACCTGGTGCATCTAAACACCAGTGCACAACACAAACAACTCTATGCAAGAGCAGGCTCCTGTGATTGATGTGAGGGCCCAGGTTCTGAATATTTGGATAAACGGTAGAGTAAAAGGTCTGGAGTTTACCCACTCGTGTCCATCTTGTAGAGTGCCTTTGCTTTCACAGGAAAACCTACAGACTTCTCCGTGGGCCCAGGCGATCTGCTTCTGAACCTCTGGCACGTTGCCTCCTCTGAAAGGCTGTGCACTGCCTTGGTATTCATCCTCCCAGGCTCATCTGTCACGACTGTCCTCCCTAATGCCCGTGCCACACTTCAAGTCACCTTCTTATTGTGCCCCAGTGGGTTACCTGCCCCCTCTTTTCTGAATTTCATTTTCCATACTCTAGGCTACCAAATTATTCCCATATTATAATATTCTCTGATGGATATAGATTCATAGAGCAAATAATTAAACTTTACATGTTAAAACTGTGTAGTACAGTATCCTTGATATTGACAGAACTCCATAAAATTGGAGAGACAATTAAAATAAAGAATGTTCTGAACATGGAGTCCAGTCCATGTCTTCCTCTTAATGCCAGTCTTCGTGGAAATAGCTCCCCTTTTCTGATTCTCAATCCCACAGCTGTAAGGTGAGTGGAAAATAAGTAACATTTACATTAGCACCTTTAAGTACAAGCTACCTTTGCATTTCAATATATCCTTAAATAAATATACCTTTAGATGTCTAGAAGTGCCAATAAAAGTAACATGGGGAAATATTAAGAAGTTCAAAATGGGGATTCTTACCTCAGATGAATGAGTCCTCTCACCTCTCAGGTCTGGTGTGGAGTCTCTGGGCAACTGAATTTTTATACAGAAAATGAGCCCTGCCTTAAGGAAGGAAATGGAATTTTGGAGACCTGCTCTGCCTTCATTCCAGCTTTTGTAATGAAAAATCTGTGGCTTAACATTTTTTCATGCTTGCTGTGTGACAAAAATGTCACTTGGGTGTCTCCATTGTGAACCTTTGGTTCCTAAAGGTAATAAGCCTCGTGAGGGGTGATGGATTAAATCAGGAGGAAGTGCTGGACTACTCAGACCAGAAATATCTGTGCTTCTTTGCCAAGACCTTAATCTTTAGCTTAAATTCGTCCTGTTCAACATTTTAGTATATGAAGCAGATGTAGGGGTGAGCAGGTGGCATTTCTGGGTCTTCTGAAAAGCCACAGGGAAGGTAGCAATAAATAAATCATTTGTCATTGGCCCACCCTTGGCAAGGGAAATGAAAGGCTAACATGCCCTTTTTGGAAATGAATTGTCTTCACTCTGGAGAGATCCATAAAGATGCCATGCTAACTTATTTTTAATTAAAATTAAAAATTGTTTGACACATATTTGTGCATACTTGTGAGGCACAATATGATACTTTTATTCATCTGCACATTGGGTAAATGTAAAATTAGTGTATCCATCACCTTAAACTTTATGGTAAATTTCTTTGTGGAAATACAGTGGACCCTCGACTTACAAACTTAATCTGTTCCCAAGGGCTGGTTATAACTCAAGTTTGTCTACTGAAGGCTCAGGCTCCTCTACACAGCCTTTAAAGTCTCTCTCCTGTATACAGGCAGATCTCAGTGTCCTTAGAAAGACATAGGCCCAGGATTTCTCAACCCCACACAGGAAAGGATGTTGCAGTGTTCCTTCCAGAACTCTTTAATGGTAAAATCTGTATCTGAGACCATCTGGTAGCACAAGCAGCCGGCATTCAGGTAGTAACTCAAGACTTTGGTTGTAAGTTAAAATTAAAATTTAGGTCTTAAACCAAGTTGGTTGTATGTCAGGGCTGTCGTAACTCGAGGGTCTACTGTACATTCAAAATCCTCTCTTCTATTTTGATATACATGATGCATTATTGTTAATTATTTTCACCCTACTGTGCTATAAAACACCAGAACTTATTCAGCTGGTGTAACTATAAATTTATACCCATTGACTGACCTCTCTTTATCCCCCTACCACTCTGCTCTTCCTTGCCTCTACTAACCAGGACTTTACTCTCAGCTTCTATGAAACAAATTTTTTAGATTCTGCATGTGAATGAGATCATGTGATAAAACTGTCTTTCTTTTCCTGCCTTGTTTCACCTACCATAATGATTTCTAGTTTCACCCATGTTGTTACAAATTATAGGATTTCATCTTTTCTTTTCTTTCTTTCTTTTTATTTTTTATTTTTTAGTCCTCTAGTGTCCCATTGTGTATATGTACCTCATTTTCTTTATTCATTCATCTGTTGATGGATATTTATATTGTTTAATATTGCAGCTATTGTAAACAGTACTACTATAAACATTGATGTGTGATTATTTCTTCAACAACTGATTTCATTTTGAGTATATGCACAGTAGAGGGATTGCAGATAAGGTACTTCTATTTTTAGTTGTTTGAAAAACTTCCAGACAGTTTTCCATAATGACTGCACTAATTTATATTCCAAAAAACAATGTCTAAAAGCTCTCCTCTCTCTGAATTCTTGCTGGAATTTGTTATTTTTGTCTTTTTGATAACTGTTTTTACTTGGTGGAGGTGGTATCTATTGGAGTTTTAGAATTTCTCTGATGGTAGTGATGTTGAACTTTTTTTTTTTCTTGTGACACTTGGGATCTTCATTTGAAAAATATCTAGTCAGGTCATTAATCCATTATTTCAATTGGATTTTTTTTCTTTTACTACTGAGGCATTTTAGATTCTTAAAAATTTTTAATATTAATTTCTTGTTAGACACATGCTTTAAAGTAATTTTCTTCCATCTAAAGTTTTTTCTTAGCAATATTGTTTGTTTATTTTGGTGTGCTTTTAGTTTGATACAATCCCATGTTTCTATTTTTTTTTTGTGGTACCTCAGGACCTTGCACTTGCCAGAAAAGCATGGTGCCACTGAGTTAAATCCCCAGCCTTCTATTTTTGTTTTTGTTTCATGTGTTTTGCATGCCATATCCAAAAAAATGATGGCATGTACCAGTGTTATGAAGTATTTTCTCTTTTTTTTTTTAGTAGTTTCATAGTTTGGGATCCTATATTTAAGTATTGAGTCCATTATTAGTTGGTATTTGTAACTGGTTAGAGATGAGTCTAGTTTCATTGCTCTGCATGCTCTTATCCAAATTTCCAACCACAATTTATTGAAAAGATAATCCCCTCACATTATATATTCTTTTAGTTCTGTTGTCAAAAGTCAATTAGTGGTAAATACATGGGGTTATTTCTGGGTGCTTTCTTCTTTTCCATTGGCTGATATGTCTGTATATCATTACCATGCTGTTTAATTATTATAGTTTTATAGTGTAGGAAAAGTGGGGCTGACAGGCAGGGAAACGGATAGAAAGGCATCAGAAAGATTCTTTGCAAATCCTGACTACAGAGAGTTAAACCTTTGCTAGAAGGAACAATTAGGAGAAGAAGGGAGAACCAATAAGTAGCTAGGCTTTGCCAGCACCAAGGGCCCAATTAAAGTTAGTCACACCTTCTCATATATATTTATATAGAACCATACCTAGACACACACACACATCATGAATATATAGATACACAGTGGTACCTTGGTCCATGAATGCTTTTGTTCGCAAACCGTTTTGCAAATAGAAGCATTTGGCAAAATTTTGTTTTTATTTGCATACTCTACATTGGGTGACAAACATGACCACAACCATTCTTCCTGCACAAACACAAACATAGCCATCATTTCTAGAATCATGGAATATATAAGTTCATGAATATATATATATATTTGCATATATTGGACCATCCTTTCATCCCTAGGATGAAGCATACTTGATCGTGGTGAATGATCTTTTTAATATGTTGTTAAATTCAGTTAGAATTTTATTGAAGAGTTTGTATCAATTCACCAGGCATATGGACTCGTTTTGTTGTTGGTAGTCGTGTGTCAAGAACAGAATACACCTGTCAGGTTTTGGTATGTTTAACACTTGCCTCATAGAATGGCATTGGAAGGATTTCCCACTCTTCAATTACTTTAACTAGCTTGAGAAGAATTGGCACTGATACTTCTTTAGTTTGGTAGAATTCAGCAGTGAAACCATGAGGTACTAGGCTTTTATTTGATGGGAGACTTTTTAATTACTGATGTCTCATTGCTAATTGTTGCTCTTTCATGTTTTCTGTTTATTCTTTTGTATATGATGTGTATTTTATCTTTTTCTGCTCTTAGATTTTTTTTGCCTTAAGTTTTGATAGGTTGAGGATTATATGTTGTCATGAACTCATCTTTGGTTTTATTTGATTGAAGATCTCCACACTACTTTTACCTGGATAATGGCTTCTTTCCTCAGATAAGGCAAGTCTTTAACCAATATTTCCTTAGATATGATTTTTGGCTTTTTAATTCATTCTTCACATTCTTTAATTCCTAGTAGTTACAGGATAGTCCTTTTGATGGTATGCCATAATTTTCACAGGCTTTATCTTTTCTCATTTTTTTCTTTTTATGTCTTTGATTAGGTAATTTCAAATACATTATCTTCAAGCTCACTGACTACTTCACATTCTTTGCCTTGACTGACTCAATTGCAGAAGTTTTTATTGCATTTTCTATTTCATGCATTGTATTCTTCATCTCTAGGATTTTTATACTTTGTTTCTATTTTTGTCAAACCTTTTTATTTTGTTCATGTATTTTCCAACTTTTATTCAATTTTTAGTTATACATTCTTGAAGTTTACTGAAATTTTAAAAGAAAATTATCCTAAATTATT